CTAGAGAAAACTTAGATCCAAAGCATCTAGGGTTGTATGTGCACCTTAAGATTGTTATAGTGCTCAAAACCTTTCAATTGCGACCGGGTTGGCCATATGAAGGCCGACTGTCCATCGCTTACTGTCAGGCCGGCGCAAGCTCCAACATCGGCTACTTTGAGGATCACTGACGGGAGTCAGGGCAGGGAGGAGCCCCCGAGGGCTCGAGGTCACGCTTTCCAACTCACTCGACGTCATGTACAGTATCATAACAACTAGTATAATAGTGACCAAAGTAAACACAACCATCATAAATATAATTGAAAAGATTACATTGTTTCACGAGTTACATGTTTCAAAATCAATTACAATATGATGATAAAAATGATTTATTTGACGCCTTAGCGTCCCATCCTCAAAAACTGGTAGTTCCCTGTTTTAGTGATTTCCTGAGAATACAAGTAGTTTTGAAAGAGTGTCAACATTTAAGTTAGTGAGTTCATAAGTATTTTATATGAAAAGGTATGTTCTTTGTTCCTTGAAAATGTTAGTGTGTTCCTCCATAAAATCCAATATTTTCATTTGTAAATGAAATGTAGTATTAGACCTTAAGACCAAAAATGTACAAGTTTTATTATGTTTAAAATTTGTAATACGAAGAATGAATTTATGTAAGTAGTGTAACCCTTACTGGTTCCTTCTATGATCACATAGTGTATACAAGTTATATATAATTAAGATCGAACAGACAGTCGAATGAGTGGTTCTGCCCTAAGCCCACAACCAAACAAGGAACAGGAAGTAAAGCGGAAATCACACATTCGACTTCCTATCGGGTCTTCATTTTATATAACCCTAACGTATACACTAAGTAATCATAGAGTGAACAATAATAGTCCTATCAAAAATGTAAGTTACACTGTACTAGAAAATAGTGTACTGTAATTGTATTTATATGTAATCCTTTTAATGTATGTGCCTGGATTCATAAGTTGTACTGTAAAATATTGTATTGTAGTTTTATTATTAGATAAAACTATTTGAAGTTATTTATGTATTCATACATTAATCGTATTGTTAATACCAAATTGTGAGTTATTATAACCCTGCTTGATGACCTAAGATGGCCTGATACGATGTTCTTCAGGTGTCATAATTGTTATGACATTTGTCACCTCAGGCCTGCCGGCCTAACTGTAGCTAACAGTTTAGGTGCGGGATTGTCAGCCCCGTATAGATCTATACACAAGTGTCACGATCTCCCTCCAGGAGACTCTGGTTATAATTTCAGGTCTTTCGTTGGTACTTAGATAAGTACTTGAAGTGTGTCTCACAAAGCTATATTGATGGTTACATGTAAAATAATGAAAAGCCTTTTTGTAACGAATAAACTGTATGTATGTCTCATAAACTATACCTATTATAGTTTATATGTTTGTTTTTGTATTGTATTCCGAACTTGGTAAAATAGTACGTATATTTCATAAACTATACCAATTATAGTTTATCTTAATTGTTTTGTAGTGAGGAAAACTCTTATGTGTATGATTATTACCTTTTCATGGAAGTAAAATAGCATGAAATATAATCAACATGTATCTCTACATTATTACATACTTTGCTCAACATGTTACAAAGTGTAAATAAATCTATAAACTGTTTTTCTAGTTTTTAACTCTTCTATTCACGTTTTTAGAAAAATTATAGAAAAATCATCGTAAGTCAAAATCTAAATCCGTAAACTCTAAGAGTTTAGAAAATAAGTCTACTCTGTTCATAATTTTTATTATGACCTTTAGTGGTCTCTAACCAGTGTGAGAATGTTCATTTTCACAGACTGGTCCGAAAACCATTCTGAAATGATAGACAGTTTTGTAAAAATCGCTATAAATTGTAGAAAAATCATTTTGATGCGTACGAGTAGTCCTTAGAAAAGTATAAACCTGAATTACTTGCATATTGTACAGTTTTGAAAAATATTAACTCTATGTTGGGTAAAATGGTCCATGAACAGATCACAACTTTTATGTTGAAAGCTGTTACTTAAGTTTAGATTATATTCTAGTGATGTAACTTGTATCCCCCCCCTCCCTAAAACTTGAATAAAACTTGAAAATGTAGGGGTATGAACTCACCTTATATGATTTCTTGATGAGTGGAAGGTTGTGGATGAAGAGTTTTAATTCAAGAACACTTGAAGATGCTTGGAGATTTTGATGATCCTATGAACGTTAATGTGTGTAAATGATCCAAGATTGTTATGGAGTTATGTAGGAATAATAGGAGTTGGAAGAAATACTTACCAAAAATGAGGAAATAACCCAAGAACACCTCCAAAAACATGGTTGGAGTGGAGAGAAAATGAGAGTTCCTTTGTGTAGAAAAAGTGGGTTTTTGGAGTGAAGTGTGGAAAGTGAAGGGTGAAATCCCCCTGGATGTGTGTTTAAATAGTATAGAATAAGATAAGGCAAGTGGATTGGTTGTTGGTAAGTTTAATAGATAATGATTTGACTAATGAGGTTTTGAGAAGTGACATAAAGATAACAAGTGGGGATCCACTTGACCCGCTTGTGCCCACTTGCACAATATAATATCTATTTAACTTTAGATATTTCTTTATGTAAAAGTATGATTTATATATAATAAATCTTTAAGACGTGGGTAAAATATGAGCTTAGGGGGTCTAAGACGTGAAAAATATGAGTTGGATGAAAATCCCAAGTCAAAAACTCCAAAAACTGACGAAAAGTGCGAAACTGTCAAAAATCCGGAATGAGAGGCGAAAGGGTTCGCATCCTGAGAGGGTTTCGCATCCTGAGAGGGTTTCACATCCTGAGAGGGTTCTCATCCTGAGAGGGTTTCGCATCCAGATAGGGTTTCGCATCCTGAGAGGGTTCGCATCCAGAGAGGGTTTCGCATCCTGAGAGGGTTTCACATCCTGAGAGGGTTCGCATCCTGAGAGGGTTCGCATCCTGAGAGGGTTTCGCAGCGAACTTGTCGGTTCCCATTTTCTCCTCCCGTATCGAGTGGTTTTCAACAATTTGAAGGGTTGGGATGGCATGGGTGTTTATGGAAAAGTTGGAAATGAGATTTTTATTACCAAGAGAGATTTGGGGGAGAGATATAGATAGAGAGAGAGAGAGAGAAAGAGATTTTGTTTGTAGCCTTTGTTATTGTTTTTGCCCCGTAGTATTAGGATTGTAAACTCTACTACGTCGTGTTATGAGTGTTCTATATCCTTGAAGGATACATAGTTGTGTTTTATCGAGCTGTTATGTTTCTCACCCTATTTAGGGTTCAGGCAGTTGAACATATGAAACTTCCGAGTGATACTTTGTATTATAATAGTAAGTTGTACATTAGGAAACATAACGCAAACCCTAACATACTAGTACAAGTTGAGTTAACCGGGTTGAATTGTTGACTTTGTTTGACTAAAATTTGACGGTTGTCACATCATCTCCCCGTTAGAAGGAATTTCGTCCCGAAATTAGCATTTTGAGTGGGACATCAAGGTTTGGGGAAAAGATGTGGGTATTTCTGTTTCATTTGGTCTTTTTGTTCCCAAGTGAATTCAGGTCCTCGCTTGGCATTCTAGCGGACCTTCACCTTTGGTATGGGGCTTCGTTTTGGTTACTCTTGCTGTCTACTTAGGGATGGCAAGTTGTACTCAAGACGAGTTGGGTTTCAAAAAACTACTGTAACGACTGTAAGGGGCGCAATGCGAATCGATTGTCCCTTATCCGTGATAATTGATAGCGGTATACAGTGTAGTCTCACCACCTCTTTGTGATATGTTCCTGCCAGCTTTTCTATTTCATATGTTGCTTTTATCGGTAGGGAGTGTGTGAGTTTGGTTTATTTGCCTACGTTCATCCAAATGGTAGCATGTCCACTAGTAAACTTGGGCAGCTTTGTTCTGAAGTTTGTGGTAGGACTCACACCTGGTTCATCTATCATCGCTCTGTGTATACTAGTTGTATATAATTAAGATTGAAAAGACAGTCGAATAGGTGATTCTGCCCTAAGCCCACATGTCACACCCCCGAACCAGATTGCGGAAACGTCCGAGGGCTCGTGCGTGACTTCGTCTTTGTAGTATCATCACAAAGTATATAATTGAACATAACATCATCATTACCACACATAGGATATAGCAACATACATAGTTTACATCAAGTATTATATTTCGATATTACATGCCCAAATAGTTAAAATATGATGAAACAAAATATGACAAGATATCTCGGATTTCGTTCTGCACAACCTGTTCAACGGTTTCCTGAGAATACAAGTTAATTTAAAAAGGTCAACATAAAAATGTTGGTGAAAATGTTTGTGATTTCATAAGCATGTTTGAGAAAATGATTTGTATAACTTTGTAATCACAAGAAAATCTTATATTTTCTTAAAACAGTTTAGGGGTTGTTTAATAGTCACTGATTGAGTCAGATCTGACTGAGTCAGAAGTCTGACTGGGTCTGAAGCCGACTGAAACCATATTGTTTGATTATATATCTGACTGGCTATGCTGAATGATAAAAATAACCATTAGAACACATTATTTTATCTCATTAATTTTCATAATTCTATTTTTTTATTCATCATTTAGCTTTTAACAATTAATTATTATAGTTAGCACTTACTTATCATTTATTTATTAGTAATAAATTATAAAACAAAAACAAAAAAATGTATTAACTATGGATGGCACTTATCCTTTATTTATTAACTAGAGAAGTACCCCGCGCTGCGGGGTTAGAAACAGTAAATGAAACATTTTATGTCAAAGATCAAGTCTTGTGATTTTTTACTGGAACTTTATAAAATTTCCATAATTCCTTCTCAGATATTGATATAACATAAATATTTTTTGAAAGATCAAGTAAACAAATTTGGTACCTGTATCTAGTATTTTTGTTTGATTCATGTCCAAAAAGAAATCTTCTTGGAAGGTTTCATATCGATTTTGGAAAACAAACCAAAATTCATAAATTTTTAGATGAGTAAAGATTTAATGTCTTAATACATTAAACCTGCAGATAAGTAAAATAGATACAAACTTACATTAAGTTGTAAACCTATTAAATCAAAAAGAAACAACCCTTGAATATGGATAAAAATACATACATAGCTGCATAGGTATTGAACATGCACTATGATTCCAAACTTTGAAATTATTAACTACCTATATAAAATTAACAGATGTAGATGCAGGTAAAGGTGCATTAAAAGGTTGTTGGGTATGACTGCTACCATGCCACAAACACCACCAAACTTCTCTGGGGCCATAATCTCTACAAATATGAAATTAAAAAAAAAATAGAGAAATTAGTTTTAATTCCATGTAAACTTTATTAAAATATGAGTAAAAAAAAGCACACACACACAGTGGGTACTACGCTACACATGGAGTAAATGAGGATGAATTCACCATCCAGGTCTCTCTTTTGTATCTCTGTTGACATCTTAAAAAAACTAATATTAAAATATCTATATTAAAAATTAAGAAATTAAAAAAAATGGTAAGCATACTTGTGAACTTCTTTATCACCTCTTCTTTTTGTTATTCAGGTTGATTAATCTCCAAAGGCTAAGTGAATATGTACCCCTTTGCTATTTGAGCCTCACTTATCAACAGAAAATCTATTAATTATGAAGCAAGTAACTTTTAGGGGAAGATTACTAAATACATTGATAATTAGTAGATAATCAAGGGGTTAATTGGGCATACCTTAAGTAATGGATTGTTTCCATCTCCTGTGATTAGATTATGTCCCTAAAAACCTGTAGAAGAATAATACTTCATATTCATCACCAATTTTGAAAAATGGAAATTTAAAAAACAATATCGATGATAAAGTAAATTTCATGAGTACCCTTGCCTTCTTTTTCTGTTCTTCAAGAGGACCAGCACTTGAAGCCGATCGAAACCTAGAAAGTCTAACTTTCTTCTCCTTGTCCTCTTAACTGTGTGTTACTTATGTGATCCCAAATCTGAATAAAGAGAATAGAATGATGATTTTAAATCAAATAATATCTTTTATTTTAAATTTCTAATGAGTTATTATTATTTGATGACATGATCATAACAACCTCTCTGCTGCAGCCTTCCTTTTCAGGTCCTTGACTTTCTATGTGGCTACAGAACCCTGCAAGGCAGTACCAAAAGATCAACATTGTTTTCAAAATAAGGACTCCAAAAGCAAACTACAAATTTTGCAACATATAAGCCATAAATCCATAAATTGGACTAAGATTTGAAACCCAATTGAGATAAAAAATAAATAAATAAACACATAAGAAGAAGGATTTTGATTGGGAAATCTAACTTAATTGTCCTTGGGTATCCAGTGAATCACCAAATATAGACAAAGTTAAATAGATAAACACATAATAAAGAGTACCATGGTTTAGCAGAGACCTTGCAAACAGGGCACCAGTTCTTTAACTGCAGCCACTGGTTTACACACACAACATGGTAACCATGATTGCATCCCATTCTTCCTATTTCATCTCCTGCTATAAACTCCTCCTGAAAGAGATAGCAAAATACTTTCATTCATCTGTTTATTATAACATTCTACTTTCATTGTTTTTTTCTATTACATCATTATACATTGAAAGATATTCAAATTAGGTAGATTTTACAAAATATAAAAGCTAAATGATGTAAATAAAAGATTTTTAAGAAGCATCACCTGACAGATGCTGCATTTTGATTCCTTAATTTGCAATGGTTCATATATGCTAATTTTAAGGCATTTTGATAATTCCTCTTCAGATAATGTTGTGCTCACTATACCCACAAACAACCTTTCTGCACCCTCCAATTTTCCCTGAAAGAAAGTGCAATAAGATTGTGTATATGATATAATACAATAGAAAACAATGACTCAAATATTAGGGCTCATATTCTCAAATATATGATCGTAGTAACAGATATGTGTTAGGGACATCGCCTGAAAGCATTCTTACCAAAATTGGAAAAAACAAAAGCCTAACATCAACATTATAGTAAACCCGATTACTTAATACTTCAAAATTAGTACATAAAGAAGAAGAAGATGAAAAAGAAATACCTTCTTTGATGTTTTGCAAGGCTTCATAAAGTGGCTTCTAACCTGCCTTCTTTAATTTCTGCAAACAAATGAAAAACTGATGAATACAATCAGATGAAGAATTGTACGCGATGAAAAAGAAATTATACCTTGGATACCTAAATCGAAGAGCAAAAAAAAAAGCAAAATCAAATATACCAATAAATATGATATATTTGAATCTCTTAATCGACAATTCCGTAGGCTTTCTTGCACCCCTCATGGTTTTCTTGTCCTTCCGACTGTCGCAAGAAGGGGAAGGTGGAAGGAAGCGTTGGCGTTGGATGGTCCGATGTAGGCACATAGCGGAGGAATCGGAGGCGGCGGAGTTACAACCATTGCAGGTTAGAGGCGGTAATTGGTATTGTTTTCTCCTTCTGGTGGAGGTTAGCGCTTTAGAGTGAGGGAGTCGGAACATGGATGGTGGTGATGACCACAAGGTTTAGGGTTTTCTGTAAGGGCTCCGGTGGGTGATTTGAGAGGACGAACATAGCCTGGCAGTTGGGTTCGGGTTGACGAATTATCGGGTCAGAAAACATAAATTCAACCCAACCCATATAATATATGGGTATTATATGGGTTGACGGGTTGGCGGGTCATGGGTTGGTGGGTTGGAAACCTTAACCCAACCCAACCCATATAACCCGTTTAAATATATGGGTTCGCGGGTTCACAAGTTAATGGGTCAAACCCAACCCATATAACCCGTTTAATAAATAAAAAACACATTTTAAAAAATGAGGTTTTTTCAACATAAATTCATAAAATGATTAAAGTAATTAACATAAAAAAAAGGTTTTCAACATAAATTCATAGAGTCAATAACATTCAAATAAAAATGAAAAATGAAAACATTCATAGAAAGTGGATGTGTTTTTCGTTCGTGACTCGTGAAATAACGACATGTATTTTTTCTTTTTATGATTAACGAACCGCAAATGCAGATTGGTCACATACGAATACGGAAGGAATACAATGATACGGAATATTACGAATACGGATGGAAATAATATTTAATTAATATATATATATATATATATATATATATATATATATATACGGGTTGGCGGGTAGACCCGTGAACCCAAACAGATAACCCAACCCAACCCATGAAATAAACGGGTTGGTGGGTTGGCGGGTTGACGGGTTGACGGGTCAAAAATCTCCACCCAAACCCGTCTATTTTCGGGTTTGGTCAGTGTCGGGTTACGGGTTGGGTCGAGAGTTGTCACCCCTAGACGAACAGATAAGTTTGCATGGATGTCGACGGGGAAGCACAGGATACAATCGGACGGAGATGATTGGGAAGTGTGAGTGGAAGTTGTGTAAATTTTGTGGAGTTAGGGTGTGTTTGGGATTGCTTTTTGAACATAAAAGTCTTTTTTGTAAAAGAACTTTGTCTAAAAGATGGTGTTTAAAATGTGTTTGGCTTGTCTTTTATGACTTTTAAGTGTTAAAAGCTAAAAGTCACAAAAAGATAGGAATTCCTATCTTTTCTCCGGCCAACTTTTCCTTCTTGACTAAAAGTTGGTTTTAAAAGATCTTTTTAATTTGCAAAACAACTTTTAGTAATTTTTAACTTTTTGAAAAAGTTAAAAGTCAAAAAGATGATTAAAAAGAAATGTCAAACACCCTCTAAGAAGGGGATTGAGGGAAGAAGAAAGTGGGATTGATATCAGGCGTGAGAAGGAGAAGCTGATGGGTTTCTTCCACAGCAGTCGGTTGAGAGAACCTTGGGAATAGAGAAAAGAAAGAGGATGGAGATAAAGCGGTGGGCGATAAAAGGTAGAAGGATCCAGTGGGTATGATTGAGGGTGAGTAAGACAGAAGAAACCAAGGAAAAAGCCACGTATCCCGATAGTATGAGAAGGTTGTGCACGTGTAATCCACCGTAGAAGATATAGAAGATAAGAGCCAAATAAATAACAAAAAAAAATCCACCAAAAAGTTACAGCAAATGATTAAAATATTTATTAAGCGTCAACAAATAAAGAAAAAAAAAACAAAAAAAAATTCCAGCCAATTAGATGTAAGAACTGTTCATCTGTCACTTCAAAATTAGTATATATATATATAATAATAAATTATAAATTATAAAACAAAAGCAAAAGAAATATTAACTTTATCCCATATGTCATCCCACCTAAAGTATCTCCCTATTTCCATATTTTCTCATATATCGAACCCTAAACCATATTTTCTCATCTGCCGACATAATATTCCTCCGTCTCCTACCCCTACTCCCTCGTGGTGTGCATATCAGCGATTCAAACAAATACCAAATTTGAAGTTGAGTTCCAACCTTAAGGTTTGATTACTGATGAAGATCAAACATTTTTATTTCGAAATTTGGGAAGTTTTGGTGTGTATTTTTTTCGCGGCATCGCCATGAGTCAAGGATCTCAAGACGGTAGTATGAAGTTCTTTGATTTTAGATATGTCAGCAATTGTATTTTTTTTCTTTTAGATAGGTCCAAGTCTTCATAGTGTTTCCAGAAATTCTGTGTTTCTCGTATTTGTCGTGATGCAAGAAACTTCATTTGGATTTTGATTTTTGTGGGCAGTGTTGATCGATAAAATGCGAGGCAAATAATGTCGTTTTCTTCAATCACCCGGTCAGCTATCTTTTTTGGGGGGACCGAGTCAATCATTTTTTTGGACTGAGTCAGGAGTGTGCGTTGGGTCAGATACAAATCAAACGCTCCGACCGGACCGAGTTAGACAAAAACTTCTGACCGGACCCGATCAGCACCAAATCAAACAACCCCTTGGTATGTTTGTGTCCGATCTTGTATTAATGCATGTGTGTTATTGTTTACTAGAATGCCAAAGAGAATGAAGAGAATGTAAAGAGAATACCCCCAGACAACCCGATGTTGTCTGTAAAAGAGAATGCTGGTAAAACAACCCCCGAGGTCGTGTACCGGCGCGAGTAAGTTACTGAGTAATCCAAAGAGAAATGAGAATGGTTTTCCCGTAAATTTATAATGTTAGTTCCTCTAAGTGAGTCGTTATAACCATACTAGATAATGACAATTTCGCATGTCTTGGCGTTTATGGACGCCGACGGAAATAGAATAAGATTTTCGTCACCTTAGACTGATTTAGTCTAACTGTAGCGAACAGCTCAGGTGTGGGGTGTCATCCCCTTATAGATCTATACACAAATCCCCGCTCTCCCTCCAAGAGACTATGGTTATAACTATAGACTATGATCATACACTCAATAGGTGTCAATCGACACGTCTCACTAGATCCTTAATCGAAATTTACGCGAAGAGAAACATATAAAGCACACTCCAGGCCCAATGAATCATGTAAGTGAACAACTAAGGCTCACTAAACATGTAAGTCATTTCAAGGCTCGAAAGGAATGAGATTATATAACATGGGCCCAAAATATATGTAAAAGGACAACTAAGGCCCATTTCACATGTGTGTTATTTACGGGCCCAAATAGCACGCAAGGAGTATCCAAGGTCCGTCGAGCATGTTAGTGGGTCAATAAGGCCCAATAAACATAAAAAGAGTATTCAGGACCAATCAAGCATATAAATGGGCCACTAAGGCCCAATAACATGAGACTGGCAAAATTAACCCGTTTGATAGTTTATTGTTTATTTTAGTTCAATTATTACCAAAATGACATAAAAGGCCTACATTTTTGTAAAAATGACATTCTTGGCCCATTAAGCAAAAATTTATAATTACGGCCCATTTTTGCTAAAAATAACATTTTAGACCCCTTTTTAGAACAACACTTGCATTTAAGGCTAGTTTTTGTAAAAATAACATTTTTAACTCACTTTTGTCAAAAATATCATTTTTGGCTTGATTTTTAAAAAAATGTGCATTTTCGGCCCATTATAGATAATTTCATCTTTTTGGCCCAAATTTTAATAATTTCACATCTTTAAACCCTTTTATCAAAAATTTACATTTTTGGCACAACTTTGTTTAAAATGACATTTAAGCCCACAAAAGTCCAAAAGTTACAAATTTTGGCCCAAAGCCGTGAGAAGCCCAAATAAGGCCCATTTATGAAAATGTTTACATTTTTAGTACTTGTAAGGTCTCAAATGTCGAAATTAACCATGTTTAGCAAAAAAAACCTATTTTGAACCCCTAATAACCGTGAGTTACATAAAGTATACCCATTTTTGGTCATTTTGTCACTTTTGGCCCTCTTATGCGATTTTGCTTAGTTTCAAGTAACTTGTATGTATTTTAAAACCACTATTTTGTAAGATAAGTTGTAATGAGTGTTATGTTTCAACTAATAGCATCATCTTTTAGTAGATCTTTTAAGTTCATGGAGTTTAAACACATAATCACATATATAACATGAAAAACACACAAAATCATGCATACACATATAGATCTACACAAAACAACTTGTATTCTCCCCCAAAACAAAGTAAAAATCGAAAATAGGGGATATGAACTCACTTTGGGTTGTTGTTCTCGGTTTGATGAAGAGTTTGAATAAGATTTTGGCCCTAGATGTTTCCTTGAGGATATTTCCGAGATCTATGAAGTTCTAAGAGCATGGATCAAGAAAACATGTGCTTATGAGGATGGATCTATCATAAAATGAAATAAACAACTTTGAGTTTACATGATCTTACCTAGTATGAAGTTTGAAGAGATTTTCCTTGAGACACACACAAGTACACACTAATTTTAGGAAGGATAGAAGATGTTTCTTTGAGTGTTCTTAGAGAGGAATGCTTGAGTGAGTTTGAGAGTAAAATGAAGGTGGTGGTGGTTTTTGGCTCTACGGCCGTGAATAAGAAGAGAGAAAGAGAGGAGAGAGGTTGAGATGTGATGGTTGCATTGAGACATGAGATTAGTATGGAGGTTTGTTGGATAATGGCTTGGAAATCCATCTTGTAAACATGAGGTGGCACTCTTAATATCCTTTGCTAATTTGTTTTTTTTTAAGTGGGTCGTGAATGGGAAAGGATGGGTTCAAGGCCCAATTAAGATGAGGAGATGGGTTCACAGCCCATCAAGTTTAAATAGAATGGTTCACGGTCCATTATGGCCCATGACAAATAAGTGAGTGATTTTAGGCCCAACTTGGCCTAATTGCTATGGTTTGACGAATGTGGGCCCAACTAGAGCCCAAATGGGTTTCATTGGTCCAAAATCATCAAATAGAAGGTTTACTGGTCCATTAGGCCCAATAAGAGGATCCTAATCCATATTAAATTTGAACCGTAATATTTAGGGTTTTCAACCCATAGTTAAGTATACGAGATGCATTGTATTAGATTTTTGAACTTCACTCAGGAGTTTTGATTCAAATGGATGATTTTGATTGAGCATAGAGTATGATATCCACTTTAATTACAAGTCTTACAATAGTTGATGTTTACATGAGGACAGAATTTCCTGGCTAAAAAAATGCTGGTTGTGACATCATCCCCTCGTTAGAGGGAATTTCGTCCCGAAATTCTTTTGAAAGGTAGGATCATGAATGAGAGAATAAGTGAGGGTACTTCTGTTTCATCTGGTCCTCG